AACTCCTCCACTTGGGGCAGGAACTCATCCCTGGTTTCGTGCCGTATAAATAAACTTGAATTTAATTAAACTGAACAGCATAAACTGCTAAGCCTCTAAGATAAAGCACCCATTTTGTTTTATCTTTTCCCTGTGTGTCGTTAGTTCAATTTTTCTATTTATGATTCAATTAACCGCATGCATAAAAGAAGTCTGTGTCATTCTGTTCACTACAGGGCCATTCCCACCAAGAAATATTTTCATATTGAAAAAAATAGCAATCCTACTCTTTCCGATGTGTCCAATGAATAAAGAGCTGCAGTGAAAGAGATCATCTGCTTCTTGTCTTTCAAATGAAAACCAGCACAGATGCTATTGCTGGTTTGATAGAAGCCATAACAGCAGCACCAGGGGGAAAACAGTGCTGGAATTAATTTTGTGGCATACTCCACTTGAAGCTGTAGTTGCAGTAGATGTAGTAGTTGTTGCAGTAGTTGTAGATGTTGTTACAATAGTTTTAGTAGTTGATGTAGTAGTTGTTGCATTAGGTGTAGTTGTTGGTACAACAGTTGTAGTAGTTGATGCAGCAGCTGTGATAGAAAAAATGTACAAAACATTTTTAACCAAGTCACTCTAAAACATTTGAGACTTTTTGATCAAACATAACAACTACGATTACTCACCTGTGTCATTGACAAGGATGGAATCCCTTTCAATGTCAAAGCCTGTAACATTTGAGGCTGTACTGTTCAAAACATTTCTAATCTCAGCGTTGTTTGGAACAGATGTGTTTACAAACCGAAGTTCCATCGTGTTGATGACTGATCCCTGCCTGTAAACGCAGAGACAAAAATTATAGATTGGAATATTTAGGGCTTTAGGTGAGTGCTCTTAACATTATATGTCAAAATACTGAAATTACCTGAAGCGCACAACATCCAAGGAGACAAAAGAAGAAGGGAATGCCAATATGTAAGGAGTTTCAATCTGCAGACACAAAGGAGAATTTTCTTAAAATTCAAGCTCAAAACCATCCTGCTCCAGGGATAACTCACTAACTAAAAAAACTGGGTAAAACTGGGAAAACTTTCACAGATTTTAAATTGATGCAGTTTAATTACTTTATACAATTTTATCATAAGTATATTATCCATCTTCTAGTGAGAGAAATGTAGTGCTTTTTGTCTTGAATATGTCCTGTAAAGTCAGGTTCAATGTATGAGTTGGAGATGAGAAAGACAGTAGACAAGTGAAAGAAAGAGAATCTTTATCTGTATTTGTTAAAGTGAAAAGGTTTGTTCAAATATGAAGTGAGAACCAACATCTTAAGAGCTTGTCTCCTTTGAGAGAAGAATAAACATCCAGCAATAATACTGACTTAAAGTGCTTTGCCACAAGTACAAAAGACTGCGGATCAATAGCTCAAAAGTACATGTGTAAATCTTGGGACAAAGTGTTCCAAAGTTTTTAACAGTGAAAGTAAATCTCCATAAGTTGATTCTGTTCATCTGGACGTAGCGTTTTGGATGAGCGATGAAACGTTTCTGCCACAAAACGCTACATCCAGATGAAGAGAATCAACTTTTGGAGATTTACTTACCTGGATGATTGAGCATGCATCAAAGTGCAAGCAAAGATTCTATAGTTGACTTGTTCCTGCTGTAGTTCAGTGAAATCCTGTATTGAGCATTTAGTACTTTAATAGCTGTTCTTTAGACACACCGTTCATGCTACTTTCCACAAAGTAAAACACTTACCTGTGCCTTTATAAATGCAGCTCGCGTTTTAAAAGCTTCAGATGATGAATTCAACAAGTCTGTTGTAAAATTGCTTTGAATGGATCTGAATTCAACAATTATGAGGGTGGTGAAGGTCGGGGCTGAGGTGGAAGTCGGGGCTGAGGTGGTGTTGGAAGCCATAGTTGTGGCTGGGGCTGTGGTGGTGGTGGTTGAAGCCGTCGTTTTTGTGGTGGTGGCACCTGTGATTGT